CCCGCCGCACCACGGCCTCCTCGACGAAGCCCTCCACCGACTCCTTGCACTGGCCGCGGTGTTTCCGCACCTCCAGGATGGCCCGCTGGACGGAGACCTGGCCTGGGCGGGCCGGGGCGAGAGAGGAGATGGGGAAGTGGAGAGGGCGTTCGGCCCTGGACGCTCATGTTCCCGGCTGGCTCCCCGGTCCCCCCCCCTTGGGGGCAGTGCTCCCCTTGCTCCTGCCCCATATTCTACCTCACCGGGGTAATTCCCTAGTTCCATCAAACCCGTTGCCCAGCCGGGGGCCACTCACCAAAGTGGAACCACGGCGAGAGGTTGCTGAGGGCTGCCCTGTTCGGGTTGTTCCGGTCGGTGCCGAAGAATTTCAGCCGCTCGCCGATGAAGGACTCCAGCATGGCCAGCCCCGCGGCCGTGCCTGGCGTTGCCCAAGTCACCTCCTTCACCGTGTGGTCCACCTGCAGGCCGGCCCGGCAGGCGCTCCAGTCTATGGGCTGCACACAAAGCGCGGATGTTCCTGCCCAGGCTGCTACGGCGGCCGGGGCCGGTTCTGCTTTGGGCCAGCCGGATCCTCCCCCCCTGCTCCTAAATACACCCTGGGCACAGCTCGCTGGCGCCACATCTGCTTTTGGGTCAGAAGCTCAGGTTCTTTTAGCACCTGCAGCAGCAGGGCACTGGAAACCAGGGCTTGTGAGCTGGTCTCAGCTCTACCACTGCCTTTGCGTGACCCTAGTCATGTCACTTAATCCCACCGGTGCCTTTCTCCCCCATTGCCAGGGCCAGCCCACAACATTTTGGCACCTGAGGTGGGGAGCTCAAATGATACCCCCATGTCCCCCCTCTTCAGCCAAAACATTGAAAGGTCTCAATTCTGCCTTCCTCCTGTTCTACTCCTCTCACGGTACTGCTCTGCCATCTCTGTGCATCTAGAGCAGAGAGAATACATATGCACCAGCGGCAGACACAATATTCTCCACTCTGGGTCTGAGTAGCGCCCCCCCACCCCTAGTCTAGCACCTGAGGCAGCTGCCTCAGTTCGCCTCAGGGCAAGGCCAGCCCTGCCCATTGTAAACCTGAAATGCCCACCCTCCAGTAGGGTCTGACACTTAGGCTGTGTCTAGACTGGCAAGTTTTTCCACAAAAGCAGCTGCTTTTGCGGAAAAACTTGCCGGCTGTCTACAGTGGCTGCTTGAATTTCCGCACGAACACTGACGATCTCATGTAAGAAATCAGGGCTTCTTGCGGAAATACGATGCTGCTCCCGTTTGGGCAAAAGTCCTTTTGCACAAAGCTTTTGTGCAAAAGGGCCAGTGTAGACAGCTCAGACTTGTTTTGTGCAAAAAAGCACGTCTGGATTGGCACATACGCTTTTCCACAAAAAGTGCTTTTGCGAAAAAGCGTCCGTGCCAATCTAGATGCTCTTTTAAAAGCATTTGCGGAAAATCATGCCAGTCTAGACGTAGCCTTAGTGTTTGGGATGCTCTGCCGGGAGCTGTCCTGGGGCGGGCGGCTAAAGGACTCGGCCGTTACCTCTGCTGGGGCCGTGGGCGGGTACGGGTGCTTGATGACGGGAGGGAATTCCGTGAGGAACTCCGAGAGCCGGTCGTGGATCTTGCGCCGAATTGTCCTGGCTCCGTACTCCTGCTTGTCGGAGGCCACCCAGCATGGGACAATGTTGTGCGCGTCGACCTGGAACGCAGCCAGTGAGCAGGGACTCGCCGGGCAGTGCAGGGAAGGAGAAACACAACCCACAACCTTGGACTGAGTCCGAGGGCCACACAGACCTTCCCAGGGCTTCGGTTTTAATCCCAGCTCCTTCCCCTCCATGCAAACCCAACCTCACCCTGTAGCCAGGGGCTGGAACGGACCGGACCAGAGCCAGGCCCGCTGAGGAGCAGCAGATGCCCACTGGGATCCAGCCAGCTCTCCACACACTGTGGTTGGGGAAGTCGCGTTTAAGCCGCACAACAGCTTGGCAGGTGATTTTTTTTTTTTTTTAAATCTTAAAATAATTTCCAGTTGCTGAACTCGGCAGAGCTGGTCACCTCCCCACGGGTCTCGTGTGTTTGTCTCTTGGCCCAGGGTCACTCCCAGTCCTGAGCAATTCTAGTGGGGAATACAAATGGGGCACTGGCTCCAAGGGGGGGTCAGTACGTGTAAGGAGTCCCTCCTTCCTGCCCCGGCTGCCCAGCTCCGTGCAGTGGCCATGTGTCCCCCTAGCACAATTTCATCCTTTACCCTCCTCCCACCCGCTCAGTCTCTGACCCAGCCTTCTGACTCTGTCCAATACACACTTGCAGACCCACAAACCTTCCCACGGAGAGAGCGGGAGCCCCTGCCCCATGGCTGAGCCCTGCTTGGGTTCACACCCCCCTTCTGTAAGGCTGTTCTATTGGGGGTGACCCCTGAGCTTGGGGCCACCTGCGGTGAGATGCTCCCCACATTTTCATTCAGCCGCTGAGCTGATGACAAGGGCCGGGAGCCAGCTGTGAGCGGCACTATTCTCACCACCGTCGTGCGACCACGTGCGAGTGAGGAGACAGCCTACAGCCCGAGCGCCCCTCCCGCAGCCCAGGGCCCCACCTGCACAAACGGCACATCTCCCGGGAGCCTCTCTCGGACGTCTTCCACCCACTGTGCGGGGACCCGGAGGGGGGCCCCCCCCCGCCGAGGCCACGGCCGGTCACGAAGGGAGGCAGCACGTCCTTGGCGAAGCCGACGAGCAGGTGGAAGGGGATGGCCAGCTCCTTGCACTCCTGGAACGAAGGGAAAGCTTCTGAGAATGGGGTGGAGGGTGCTGGGACTGCCCCTCCAGGCTGAGCTGCCCAGCACCCCCCAACAGGCTCCAACCGAGAGCTGGGCACCTCCTGTCGTTTGCTGGCAGCACCCTTGGGTGGCTCTGCCACACGCTGCCTGCAGGAACATGCTACAGCAATCCCAGAGAGGCTGCAGGGTGGAGCCCTGCAATTGACGTGACTTTGCTTTCCAGACATGTAGGCTCAGACTCAGTTTCCCCTCCCTCCTCCGCCACTTCCCTCTGCTGTCCTAACCCCTGCCTTTTTTTTAATCAAACGAGTCGAAGAAAAAAAAAAACCCCAACAAAACGAGGTTGCTGTGGAAGGAAACAAGACACAACCTTTCTGTTCTGAAGAGACTCAAGGTACAAGAGAACATAGCCTCCCGGAACACTAGAGCTGGAAGGGACCTCGTGAGTTCGAGTCCCGTCCCCTGCCCTCCCGGCAGGACCCAGCACTGTCTAGATTAGGGGTGGGGAACCTTTTCTGGGTCAGGGACCGGTGACCCACAGAAGTCACTTGGGGCCGCACACAAGTAAGAGGCAAAAAAAATCCAACAAAACCTTTCACTGCCAGGCTATGTCTAGACTGGCTCCTATTCTGAAATAGCCATGCTAATTTCAGACTTTGGAATAGGAAATAGCCATGCTAATTTCCAACTTTGGAATAGGGAAATCCGCGGGGGATTTAAATATCCCCCACGGGATTTCAATAAACATGTCCGCCGCTTTTTTTCTGGCTTGGGGAAAAGCCGGAAAAAAGCGTCTAGACTGGCGCGATCCTCCGGAATAAAGCCCTTTTCCGGAGGATCTCTTATTCCTACCTGAAAGTAGGTAGGAAAAAAAGCAGCGGACATGTTTATTTAAATCCCGCGGGGGATATTTAAATCCCCCGCAGATTTCCCTATTCCAAAGTCTGAAATTAGCATGGCTATTTCGGAATAGGGGCCAGTCTAGATGTAGCCCCAGAGGGGTCCTAGGCTAGCAGATTTTGTGTGCTCTAACCCCGTGGGGGGTGGCAGGGGAGCTGGAGCACAGGGCCTGAGGGGCTGGATCCATGAGCCCCCCCAAGCCTGAGGTTCCCCTAGACCATCCCTAATAGATGTCTATCCAACCTGCTCTTAAATATCTCCCGTGGATTGAAATAGCTGTGGGAGGAAGAGAACTGTTCTGATTTCCAACCCTCCCCTCCCCCTGCCTGGCGTATGAGCTCAATTCCCAATTTCCTTGCGTGATCCCTCTCGTTAATTATGAACGGGAACCTCTAAGATACTTCTATAAACAACCCTGAAACATGAAACGCTGCAACTCTCAAACACACCAATGGCTGGTTTTAAACAGTCTATGGTCAACCGCTCAGGTTGGCTTTAGGCGCGATTCCCCCCTCCTCTCTTCAAACACCCTCCCCCAAGGGTTTGGAAACGGGCAGGGGACAGCAGCCTGGCCCATGGGACGTTCACAGATGCAGCTGGGCGTCAAGAAGCAGTCGCAGCTCCTCTGAAAGTGACCGTGTTCCTGGGGTGGAGAGCTGCCCCAGCCAATGCGGCTACCCCAGTCTTCTTGCACGTGGCCTTACTCGCCGTTCTACCCCCCAGTCTGCACTGCATTCCAAGGGAACAGCTGCTGAACATCTGGCTGTCACGGCAGGCTAAGTGGCGGCGGATGCCTTCCTCCGGAGCGTCACCCCGCAGCGCCGGGAGAAGGGAAACGATTCCAAGGTAACGCCCCTACTGCGGCTGCTAAAGGACGACAGGGTTGGCAAAGTCCCGCCATGGGCTCTTGGCAGGATCGGGCCCTTCGCTCACGCTGAGACGCTGCAGGGACCCCCAGCCCGCCCC